TTAAGCCTGGCAAGTGTTGCTCAGTGGTTGAGTGTAGACCTTTGAATCAGGAGGTCAGGGTTCGATTACCCTCTCAGGACACATGCCTGGGTTGCAGGCTTGATCCCTAGTAGGGGATGTGCAGGAGGCAGTCAATTGATGATTCTGTCTCATCATTGATGTTTCTATCTCCCTTTCCCTTCCTATCTCTGAAATCAATAAAAACATATTTAAAAAACAACCTTTAAGTCCATATAGTATTTGACTCTAGGGCTACTTACCCCTTCCACTACACCTGAAGGCTTCATTTTTATTAATTTTATGAATGATAATGACAGTCACTGCATGCTTACTATGTGGCATGTGTTTACCTACCTCTTCTCATTTCATTCTCCAATAACCCAATGAGGTAGTAATAGTAAAATGTCATCAATAAAAATACCACATTACCTTCCTAGGCTACACAGCTCATGAGTGGTAGAATCCAGATTTGAACCCAGGCCACTGACTTTAGAAACGGTATTCCTAATCTCTCCCCCACACTGTTTTGTAGGATTAGATCCTCTTTCTTCTCTTCTAGACAGTGGGATGCTATGGGAGCCTTGGATAGTCCAATTGATTCTGCTCTAAGCTTCCCAGACCAGACTTCCTGTCTCCAGCTCATGGTGTGATTTCCCTGGCTGAACATATTCTTTCTAGTACATCCTTTCTATTTCCAGTCACACCTTTTCTTCATACCAGTTTTGGCCACTAAATACCAAAAGTACGTGTGTGTCCCTTCCTCAAAATCTTTGGGAATTTATGAATCCACTGAAGAGTGTAGGGACAATCCAAGAGCTTGGTAAATATCATAAAACCTGCCCTAGCTGGTTTGGCTCAGTGGATAGAGCTTTGGTCTGTGGACTGAAGGGTTCCAGGTTCAATTCCGGTCAAGGGCACATGCCGGGGTTGCGGGCTCGATCCCCAGTAGCGGGTGTGCAGGCGGCAGCCAATCAATGATTCTCTCTCATTGATGTTTCTATCTCTCTCTCCCTCTCCCTTTGTCTCTGAAATCAATAAAAATATGTTTTAAAAAATATCATAAAACCTGCTTGCATGTTGAATGCCTGTGCGTCAGCACTTGATCTTCCCTGCTACCACATTCTCTGCTTAGGCACCATCCCACTTATCAGGCAGACCCAAGGGGTGACTCTCTTAGGGAAAGGGAGAACCTTATTCCCGAATAGAAATGGTTACCCTTGACTCAGTATCTTCCGCAGATGGCACACGTGGCATTTCTAGTCACCCCCTAGAAATATTGATGTAAATATTTGGGGCAAAAACCTGCCATGTTGTTCCTCAAACTCTGATAATAACTTTATTTTAGATTAGTAGCAAGGATAAGTGTTTGACATTTAAGCCCCAAACCTGGGAGTTTTATATAGGTTGTGTTTTGGAAAGACCCCACTCGTTTATAGTGGTGGCAGTTTGCTGCCTTTGCTCTCTGTTTGTCCTGGAGCCTGATGACCTATGGGATTTACCAAGACTGAGACTCTTGCTCATTTTACTCTAAGAGGAGGTCTGCATGTGAATTAAACTGTGAGAATCCCACAGTGAATGGGAAATTAAAGGGTTTTCAACTCAAATTTACTGCTTGTGAATTCAAATGACAGCCATTAAATAATGATCATGGGGCTAGATGTCCACAGTGGAATAAGTTGGCTTCTGGGTGGATTTCTTGATTTATTGCCATTTATGGTGATATTGTTCCAAGCAGAGGTGCCCGTTGTTGCCAGAGCTGTTCTCATCTCTTAATTTCCGATGGGTTCTCATTCTACTCAGAATCTGGAAGTATTTTACCTTCTATAGTCTTATAATTTAATTGCTGAGCATATAGGTTCTCCAGAAAGTATCTAATTATATTTTGGGCTTCCTCAGCACTTTTGATCCGATAGAAAATAAAGAGCAGGTCAGTGACTGCTTATGATTCTGTGCTAAGTGACGTTTTAACATTTTAAAAATCAGCAAGGCCTTCATCGATCAAGTATTAAGTGATGTAAGAAAAGAAACAAACTTTAGCCATGCAGCTCCATGATAGAATTTAAAATTCATGATGCCTTTTAAGGGTCAATATTATCATTTCTGTTTTAAAGATTAGGAAATTGATGATTAATCAGTCAGCTTAAATAACTCTCCTGAGGTCACACAGCTAGAACCTGGTGGAGCTGGGGGGAGTGAAACTTGTCGGTCTGGCTTCAAAGCCCAGTGAAAAATCCGCCTTTTCTTGGGTTGGAACTGCCTCCCAAACAATGAAAATGTATTTTAGTAAACTCTTAATGCTTTGGCAAATTCACTGTCATTAAAGGATTAAAGAGATAGTGTCTTTCCCCCTCCACACTTCGAGTGAAAAGATTGGGGCTGTAAGTAGATGATAGCTGTATTTGACTGTAATCACAGCATATGTAATTCTGAGACCACATATTTCTCTAGTTACCTAAGGTTATTTAAAATCAATGCACTGCTTCCCAACTTTATCTGTATTCTTATTATGTCCAAGTTCCGGCCTGGAGAACCTTTACAAGCTACTGTGGCATTGCAGGGTAATGTAAAATTCTGATTTCTATCCTCTCTCCAATCTTTTGGTGATTTTTAAAATTATAGGCCATTAACATCGAACAGTTTTTAGAGCTGTGACTGTTACCCAAGGCAGGAGGCTTACACTGCTTCAAACATCCTGACTCTCCGAGGTCCTCATACATTGCTGCCATGTCTCTGTCTTCTTCACCCTCAGAATAGCCTCCCAGGATGAAGTCAACTCCCGTAGATTTTCCTCTTCCTCACTTCTCAGGCATTTTCTGGCTGTATTGCCAAATTAGCACCTTATAGGCACTCCCTTTGTGTGTGTATGTGTGTGTCTTTCAGTCTCAGTGTCTTATATCTCTAGCAATACCATAAACATCTATGGTGAAACGCATCTCATATTTCTCTTTGTAGATACTCCCATTGGCACATAGTAGGTATTCAGTAAATATCTGATATGTTGGCATGAACCCAACATATCCTCTAACTGCCTTTTCTCAAGTTGCAATGAGGTACAGGGGCATTTACAATGTAAATTTTATGTGGAATTTTTTAAAGAATCGGGTAGGTACTACATTCACATGGTTCAAAATGAAAGAATATAAAAATAAACTATACAGTGAAAAATCTCCCTTTCCCTCCGATCCTACTCTGTCATTCTCCGTTTCTCCACAAATAAGTGTCAGCTTTTTTTAGTTTTGTGTGTATCCTTCTAGATTATTTTTTGTGTTTTAAACAAATGTCAATAAAAATACTCAGTCTCCACATTTTGCTGCAACTCGGCATACTATAGAATAGCTTTGCACCTTGCTTTTTTCACTTAACTATATAGTTTCAGATATTTTACTCCCCAGACCAACTCAGAGACGTTTATTATTATTCTCTTACATCTTGGTAGTACTATTCTATTCAGTAGGTATGCCATATTTTATTTAACCTGGCCCATACTGATGGGAATTTGGGTTGTTTGTCACACTTTGCCATTAAACATGGGATATATGCCATTTCACTTGGGTGCAGGAGTATTGGAGGGTACAGTCCCAATCAGGGCATCCCTGGATCACAGGGAAGTGCAATTATAACAGCTACAGGTCCTGCCAGATTGTCCTCATCACAGGTTTTTGCTACCTTATGCTCCCACAAACCTGTTTTTCTGTGGTCCTGTCCACAGGTGGTATACTCAAACTTATGGGTTTTTGCCAATCTTCTGAGTAAAAGATGGTATCTAAATGTGGCTTGAATTTTACATTTATCTTATGAGTACAGTTGAACATGTTTTCATATGGTTAAGGGCCATTTATCTTTTTTGTGAACTGTCTACATCTTGCCCTAGTTTAATTAGTTTACAGTCCTTATCACTTCCTAGGCATTATATTCCTAATTATAAATGAGAATGATGAGCCTTTTGTCTGGGAAACAAGTTGAAAATACTTTTCCTAGTTTATCATTTGGCTTTGTTGATGGTGGGAGTAAATCTTTAAAATCTGTTTGTTTCCCATGCAGAAATTTTCAGGTTCTTAGGTACTCAAACTTATTGAGTTTTTATTTTTTTTATTTATGGCTTTTGCATTTGGAGGTGTTAGACCTTCACTACCCCAAGGCTACACATTTTCTTCTAGTGTTTTTTTTTTAATCTCTTTGATCCATTTGGGGGTCTGTGATCTGAGAGGTGAACCCAGTTTTGTTTTTTCAGATGGCTGCCCAGTTATCGCAGTACCACGTTTTAAAAAAATTCATCTCCACTAAGTTGAGATGCCATCTTCACCATACACTAAGTTGTTATTTGGATTATTTATTACCATAGGATAAAATATAAGCACAGCATTAACAAATGGGGATTACTTGGTGGATAACAGTACATTCATTTAGGCAGCAAACCTGTATTAAGAAATTAATAAACAATAAATTAAATAATAATAAATCATGTGCCAGGTCTTGGGGATATAAAGATGAGTTTGACAGAATATCTTAAGAAAGTAACTGGACAATGAATATAATCTCAATGCAGTGGAATAAGAGCAGCGTAGAGACTGAGACAGATAGGGAGGTGCTCCACACACCAGAGAACACCGAGTTGAGTCTTGAAGGTTCATCTGACGTTTGCCGGCCAGGAGGGGAGGACATTCTAGGAGGAGGGGCCAGTAGGAGGGGCCAGTATGTGCAGAGGCGCATGTCCGGGAGAGTCCATGGTGTTTGCGGAGACTCTGAGTAGCTCTTCATGGCCATAGTGTGGGGCAGGAGACACAGTGGGGGTGAGATCAGAAGGCTAGTTAATAGTCTCTTAGGTGAGTGAGTGTGAGCAAGTGTGGGAAGGCATGTAGTGTTGGTATAGCACCCCCGTGCCTTCATTTCTCCAAACAGATGAAGGGGAACGATTAAGAGGTTCAAAATAAATGGAAGCCAACACTTAGCTGTGTTCTGCACGTTGGATGTTGAGTTTTGACACCTGTTGCTTATTCTAGACTACTCCAAGCTCCCGAAGCCGAAGTCTCACTTTGCTCCCCCATGGAACACCCAATTCTGCGTCTCCCTGTAGCCAGAGACACCTCGGTGTGGGGGCCCCCGGTGTTGTCACAGTCACGCATCACAAGTCGCCTGCAGCTGCCCGAAGAGCCAAGAGTCAGTATTCCGGCCAGCTCCACGAAGTCAGAGAGGTAGGCTTTGCTCTCCTACGAGCGTGAGTGGCCCATGGGAGTTGCGGGCTGTGACTGTTTCTCTGCCAACTTCTCTTTCTTTGTATCATCTTGATAATGAGAGAGAGGACCGGCAGCTAATGTCCCATCCCCACAGCCATGACAGTCCCTCCTGGTTTAAAAAAAAGGATTTCTGTGTTTCTTAGGTCAAGTGAGTTGTTAGGAGGCCTCTGTCAGAGCTCAGAAAGCAGAGAAAGCAAGCCCCCAGTAACATGCAGAAGTGCAATCAGAGTCTCATGCTCATGGCAAAGAATAGACAGCACAAAGTCATGGGCAGTTAGGACATATTGAGGGTGTTTCGAAACCCGGGAAGTGTTGGGCCTAAAGCTGATTTCCCCTCTTTTCTGCCCTGCTTCTCTTCATGCAATGCTTGCCTCCTCCTTACCATCACAGACACACTCCAGGGGAGGGTTGGTAGTGAGAAGAGCACTGTCCTTCGAAGACTCCTATTGTTTGAGAGCAAATCCTTGGACAGCTTTAACCCTGAGTTTCTGCATCTGTAAAATAGGGGTGAGCCAGTCTATACCAACTCTCCTGGGAGTTTCGAGGCTCACTGGTGATCATGCAGGTGAAATCCCTCTAACTGGGAGTGCCTTGTGAACACATGGGCGGGGGTGGGGGGGTTGTTTTACGCTGATACACTGGGAAGTCGTCAGTGTGGGGATCCCAGATCCTCAGGATTCATATCATCCTTTGCAACTGTTATCAAGAACAGACTATGTAAAAGAAATGCTGTTGGTATTGGTTGCCTAACTTCTGTTGAGTGCTGAGGCTTTTTGCTTGCAGCTGACTTGTGTGTGGACTGGCCTGTCCTCTTAGAGACGTAGCCTGTCCTCTGTGTAAGAAGGAGAATGGAACGCCCAGATAGGGTCTTGCTGCTACTTGAGTCAGTCTGTATCTTATTTATTTTTTCTTTTGTATTTGATTTTTTAAATGTCATGAACCAAGTAGTGTTGTGATGGCTGACTGTTGGTCTGATGGTGGCCAAGTTCAGAAAACCTGAAATCTTCTGAAACAAATTTGTAGATGTAAATAAAAGACATTTATTTTTTCTTGGTAGATTTACCCGTGCACATGCTCTTGCCTAATAAAGAAAAGGTACAGAATCATATGCTCCCTTTGAAATAGTTACCCTGAGGTTTAAAAAAAAAAAGTGTTTGGCTATGAGTTTACTTTTGCTACATTGGATGGTATGAGGAATGGATGTGCATATGTATATATTGCTTTTCATTTTTCATAGCGCCTTTTCAATAAACTGTATTATGGAAAAGCTTTAAATGTACATAAAGTAGAATAGAATAATGGTACCCATCACCCAACTCAATACTTGCAACTTTCTGTTCTTGTTTTATCTATTTTCCCCTACCACTCTTTTGTTGTTGCTAGAGTATTTTAAGGAGATCTTAAATATTTTATCATTTTAACATTGCCAGTAAATGCTTCAATATTTATCTAACAGATAGAAAAAAAAAACTAACCACAAAACCCTCTCATCACTTTTATGTAAACCTCATTGCAGATATTTTTTGAAAGTACCTTAGAGACTTTAAAAAAGAAAAAGAAAAAGGAAAAGGAAATTTAAAAGTTCCTGGTATTTTGAGAATTCTTTTAATCCTAATATAATGAACCTCTGATAGATTTATAGTGATGATAAGAGACTTCCTATATATGAAAAGGGGTGCTGTGTTTAGTAAGCAGAGGCCTAAATAAAAGTTGAGGTACTTTAGCTTGATTTTTAGTAGCATTTGATTTAATATAATGCCAAATCCATTTCTACCTCTGTTTTTTAAAAAGTTTAGTTTTTAAAGTAATAAAAGTATGTTCTTTGTGTATATATGTATAAAATGCTAATTACTAGTATATAAAGTATATAATGCGAGTATACATTGCAAAAGAACTCTAGAGAAGAAAATCAGAATTACCCATAATCCTCTCTTCCTTCAGATGACCACTGTTAATATTTCAGTGAATTAACTTCTGGGTTATTTTTTCTTTCTATATTAGTTACATATATCTATATGTAAAAGATTATTTGGTATAATCTAAACTTTGTAAGCAATTACATATATGCTGCTTTTTTGTTTTTGTTTTTTCTCTCCATTTTCCATCTGTTGGGCAGGGGGATTATTGTACTTTTCCCGGAGAATCTCAATATATGAAAAATAATTAGGCAAAATGTTTCCATAGCCATTTTAATTTTTTTTTTTGGGGGGGGGGTACTCCCAGGCAAGAGTATTTTTCTTCAGGTGATTGCTGTTGTCTATCAATGACCTTTCTTGCTGAAAATTAATTTTACATGAGCTTGTTGAGAAGTCTGTACAAACATTGCCAATTGAGAGAATTGAAGGAGGAGTTGAAAGTTTTGATGCTCAGATATCGTGTCCAGCTTCCCTCTGGTGAGAGAAGGGTAGCTGTTTTGTGACATCTGTCATTTTATGATGGGGACGGTCCACCTTGAGAACTATCTGAGCCAATTTTATTCATACCAGATGATTCTTCAGTTTAAAAAGTATATTAATTTCAGTGTACACAGGCCTCTGCTGTTAGATTCCTCTTGTCTATAATAATAAAAGCGTAAAATGCTAATTAGACTGGACGACCTTCCGGACAAAGCCGGGGCTGCGAGGGAAGCCCGGGTCCTGGGTGTCAGAGGGAAGCCAGTGCCAGCAGCTGGGGAAGGAAGGCCTACTCTTGCACGAATTTCATGCATTAGGCCTCTAGTTTATCTATAATACTAGAGGCCCGATGCACGAAATTCATGCACGGGTAGGGTCCCTAGGCCTAGCTGGCAGTCAGGGCCAATCTATAGGACAATCGGGGGGCCCCCACTGGCATTCACCTTGGCTGGCCTGGGCCCTGTGGGCTGGGGGCAGCTCCTGCGTTGAGTGTCTTGCCCCCTGGTGGTCAGTGTGCATCATAATGACTGGTCGTTCTGCTGTCCGGTCAATTTGCATATTAGGCTTTTATTATATAGGATAACTAGAAGAAAATGGAATACCATTTTTAATCCAGCTGTACAGGGAAGATAAACTTAGGACCACTGAAGCAATGGAGAAAATCATCATACACAAGACAGATGTGCCTGACTTCCTGAAGAATAAAAGAAAAATAGCCCAGCCAAAGGCAATGGAATATATTTTAAATTCAATACCAAAGCATAGGTAAAACTAATGGGACATTCTCAAAGATTAAATGATTATAATATAAAGAATTGAAATACCAAAGGTCAGTATCCACAGTCCTCTCTAGAAGTGTCCTCCCTTGAGTGCGTAGAGGGATGAGTTTAGGGAATTGGAGGCTCAGTACCTTTGTGAAGAGAACAGGAACATACCCTCACTAGCAATTCAAGAGAGAGAAATTAAGACTGCTTTGTCTTAGATGACCAGAAATAATGATAGTCTGTTTTTGGTTGGGGTATTAATAAATGTTGGCAGCATTGCACATTGTCTTTTTGCTACAGTCTGGTGATAAATAATAAGAATTAAACACAAAAAAAAGCTCTGTATTGCTGTTGACGCATAAATTCTCCATTGGGAACTACATCTGGAGGAAATAACCTATGGAATTGGGGGTAGAAGGAAGAAAGTTCATTTGGGTAAAGTTATTCATACTATTAAATAGATCCAATACAAAACTCATGGGAATGACTAAACAATAATATACTTCACCTACTAAATTACTCTATATTAAGTTAAAAGTCGTGTCAGTATTATTAGTGCATGGGCATATGTAAATAAGAAAATCAGAATACAGAATAATATGCACATATTGGACCTAACCCCATCTTAATGAATTTTAGAAATAATTTAAAACAGTGGTTCCAGATTTTTGGAGTTTTCTTGCAAACTAAAATTTAGAATCTTGGGAGCAACATAAGTATTGCAAAATTTTTTATTTTGTCCAATCAGGACATTTTCAAAGTACAGCGCACATTTAATGCCCCCTCTCCCCCACCAAAGCAATATAATTTCAGAATAAAGAACCATTTATTGCATAATAAATTTAGTATTATGAAATATACACTTATTTTCCTTGTTTTAATATTTTATCTTGCATGACGAGACTTCATCTCGTGGATTGATCATGGCCTATGAATCTGTGTTTAAACCATAGATTACCATTGATTTTTAACTTCAGGATGACTTTCAATGCAACCCATCTTCTCCACTGCCAGGTTTTCTCCTTTCTAATTCATGCCTTACTCGGTCTGCAGGAAGCCACCCTTCTGAATGAAAGCTTTATCATATCACCCTTACTCCCTGTTGTCCATAGGATAAAGGTTGAACTCTTCAGCCTGGCAAAGCAAGACTTCCATCATCTGTCTGTCTCTACTGCCCTTGCCTCCTGACCTCATCATTCCTTCTTGTCCCCACATATACTGACCACCTCCCTCTGTTGGGAGGTACATTGCCCAGTAGAACTTTCTGCCATGATGTTCTTCATAGTGGGGCTAATGGGCTTTTAAAATGTGCTTGTCTGAATTGAGATGTCTTGTAGATGTAAAATGCACATTGGATTTCAAAGACTTAGTACAAAAAAGGTAAAATATTTCATTAATAATGTTTTATAATATTGCATGTGGAAATGAAAATATTTTCTGTAAGTTGGGTTAAATTAAATACATAAAAATTAATGTCACTTTTTAATGTTTCTTTTATCTTTTTTAAATGTGCCTATAGAAAACTTAACTTTATGAATGTGCCTTCCATTTGTAGCTTGTATTATATTTCTCTTGGATAGCACTGCTCTGATTGTGAACTTGCTCACACAATGACTCTATTCTACAGGTATTAATTGAGCACCTACTATGTGCCAGACATTGAATTTTTATGCTGAAAGCCATGTCTCATTCTTGTTTGCATCTTCTAGGCCTACTGCAATTGCTGGGCATGCTGGTTGAACATAATGATTTAAAGACCCATTTTCTAGCAGTTAGAGGGCTTTAGAAATGGAATGTACAG